ATCTTCTACAATTACAGTTGTGACAATCACAATCAATCCTGCTAACAGTTATTCACAATTTAATAATAAAATCTTATCAGCATCATTCCCTGCACCCTTTCAACTGACCCAGCTGGAAAAGAGGAAACCTATTCAATGGGGGGATTCTACCTGACCCCTCTCATGTTGAAACTAAGCACACCATGAAATCTTCTAAGCCAACCATTTCATGCCTTTATAACACATATACACACCCATTTTTGATAGCCAGTGTCTCACTTGTCCATCCCTATCACCTCAGTACACTGAGGAGAAAGGCATGTTCCATGATCTGAAGAATCTTCCATTCCAGTTGAAAATTTGAGCAAATGCATCTATAAGCAAAAATCTAGTTCATCAAATTGTAGCAATTGCCGCTGCTCACATTTATATGACGTCTTTAACTTCATCTGGTCAGGTTCTGGTTAGCTCAGCCATAGCCATCCAAGCTAGGTCAAATGGGTACCAGTTGCAAATTTTGGAGTTCACACACACCTCCCAGACCAATTATCCTCTTCACTCTCAGCCCTAGCCTCCAGGGGCTAGGTCAAAGCCCATGGGCTCAGGAGTTCACACAACACTCTAAATTTCAGACCAGTCAGCCCTTCCTCCCCGTCTCTCTCCTTAAGATCAGCAGCTGCCAATGAAACATGTCCACACTTAGCCCATGTCTTCTTCATTGCTGCATTTCAATGAAAAATTATCAATTTAGGAAGGGAAGTTTCTGACAAAAAGCAATTAAATAAATTTTTCCCTTAAGCAAGATCAAACTCCTCAACCCTTCATTCTCTTTGAATGGTGCAAAACCAATGAAATGCCTTTGCTTTTATTTGGGGGAACTATAAATACTTGGCACTGGGCACTAAGTATATGCACCTGTGTGATGGCCTGGTGGATCCATCTGCAGGTGTCTCAGCTCCGGCACGAGCTGTCCATGAAGGATGAGCTGCTGCAGTTCTACACCAGCGCTGCTGAGGAGAGCGAGCCCGAGTCCGTCTGCTCGACCCCGTAAGTCACCAGCAGTGCAGGCCAGCTTTCTCCAGACTGCGCGTCTCTTAAGTGCCTCACACAGGTTGATTGTACCATTTCGGTGGGGAATGGAAGGACGGGTTTTGTTTTCTTCTTCATGGGTCAGAGTGTGCGTGTTGTGGAACTAGGTTTGTCCTGGCACGTTGACAAGTCATAGGGAGGGCTCTGCTGCTGGAGGAAACGCAGTAAAATCTGTGAGAGCCAGAACTCAATGGGATTGTCTTGTTTTTCTAGGTCATGCACGTTTTATACCTTTGACAGATGTGGTCTTATCATTTTTCTGTTGCTCCCTGTTAATGGAAGATATTTGGGTTTTATTTCCCTGGCAGGTTTCTGCCTTACACAGTTTCCAGCTTTTGCAGGTATACTGTACAAGGTGTAGGGGTCAGATGTGTGAGGGTGAGTCTTGGGATGGAAGAGGTGGAAGCTTGCTTCTCTGTAAGTCAAAAGAGCCTCACGTGACAGGCAGGAACTCTGGAGCCCAGTGGCCTGACTTCAGTGCTCTCAGCTCTGCTATTTACTAGCTTTTCGCCTTTGGCACCTCTCTGTGCTTGTTTCTTCATTTGTAAAATGGGGATAATAATAATACTTACATCATAGGGTTATGAGGATTAGGTGAGTTAATATACGTGAAGTTTATGGCACCTAGAAATGCATTATAAGCATTAAGTAAGTACTTAATCCCAGACATCCTGGGATTCTGTAGACATCAGTAGAATTGATTCTTTAGACACAATATGGCAGCTGCAAATTGTGGAGAAAGAGTTGGGAGGTGACTCCATATTGGCAAGCCTGTGCATAGGTGGTGGAGGAGGACTAGGGACACTGATGGGTCATTGATCAAAAATTTCATGAACTTTGCTTTAAGCAGCCCTTCGTGTGGTCTGCCAGGCAGTGGGAGGGATTGCTCTTCCCTGACTTGTGGTTGTACTCCCTCCTCCAGGTTGAAGAGGAATGAGTCCAACTCCTCAGTCCAGAACTACTTTCATTTGGATTCTCTTCAGAAGAAACTAAAGGACCTTGAAGAGGAGAACGTGGTGCTTCGATCAGAGGTGAGTACACGCCTCTTTCTTGGTCATTCCAGAAGTGTGGCAGTTCCGTTGGTCTTATCTAGCAAGTATGGTTACAATGCCATTCTTAGAGGTGGTAGTCTATGGGGAAATGACTGGAACCTTACATTCATAACTGCATCAAGGACTCAGCAGATGTACCTCATACTTGTGCTTGGCACTGCCTGACTGGGTTGCACTACCATGGTGGGATAACAGTGTGCAATGAATCAAGAACGGCTTTCTCTTCCTTGACACTTCGGGCCAAAGCTCCAGCCTTGAGGCTCTTCCATGGTGTTCTCCAGCACTGGCAAAGCTCCTGAGGAGAAATGACTTGGAGGCTCCTATGAGCTACTTGTCTTCATGTTGCTGCAGGTCACATCGCAGGCACACCAGTTCATGAGAATTTAGAGTTCTTATACAAGTAATTTACAAAGATTGAGCTATCATGCATTTGAGTATTTCCTATTGACTAGACTTTATGCAGGAGTCCTGGAGTGGCGCTGTGGGATAAAGCGTTGAACCACAAGGTCGGTTTGAACCACAAGGTGGGCAGTTCAAACTCACCACCTGCTCCTTGGAAACCCTATACAGGGTGGCTATGGGTCACAACCAACTCAACAGCACTTAACAGCAACAATAAACTATAAGGTCGGCAGTTCAAACCCACCAGCTGTTCCTCATAAACCCTTTACAGGGTCACTGTGAGTCAGTACCAACTCAACGGCACTTAACAATTAAGACTTTGTGCAGAGGAGCCCTAGTGGCACAGTGGGTTAAGCACTTGACCACTAACCGAAAGGTTGGTGGTTCAAACCCACCAGCCGCTCCTCACAAGACAGAGAAGGCACTCTACTTGTATAGAGATTACAACCTTGGAAACCCCATGGAACAGTTCTACTCAGCCCAATAGGGTTAAGCCCTGGGGAGCAGTTCCATGAATCATGCTGGAATGGCAGTGGGTTTGGTTTTCGCCTGTATTTGTTTTTAAGTGTTCACAACAAGGCTGGAAGCCAGTTGCTTTGATTGTCATCTTCCAGTAAGAAAGTTGGAACTCAGGTGGTGTGTTTTTCTAGGGCCATGCACTTCAGTAAATAGTACAGCAGGACTCCCAAGTTTCTGTGACTCACAACTGCACGTATTCCCTGTCCAGAATGAGTGCATACAAACTGTATGCTGTTTGTCGCTAATTCAGTCAGAGATACAGTACAGCCTGGCAGCCTTGTGTATCAGGCTGCTGTTTGTCCATTTGGGCTGTGTGTCCATGTAAGCTGGCCTGAGCCCCCAAAGTCTCTCTCACCTTCTGCTCGACTAGATGTTGGAGACAGTCTCTGTCTGGACTTAGCAAGATCCTCTTCTGCTTGAGGAAAGAACTGCGTACTTAGACATCACCTTTTCCAGCCCCTTGTTTGCTGGTGGGACCCATAAATCCAGAGCAGCCAAGAGTATAGTCCTGTACTTTCCATTCGGAGTCCAGGGATGCTCCTCTGGCTTCTGGTCAGTCCTAGGCATGTGGCTGTTTGTCCTGTCAGAATCATTGACTAAAGCCTGCTCAGAGAATCTGACAGCAGCTGTTCTAGCTCTGATTTCAGTGTCTCCTCTCCCTCTGGGGCCAGGACCCAGGGGATTCATGGACACCTTCTCTCTAGCCGGGGCATTGTCTCTGGTCCCTCAGATTTCTGTCTTCTCACTTCATCCATGGGGAGCAAGTGCTCCAGCTGAGGCAGCTATTGGTTCTCTGAATTTTGATGTTTCACAGGGTACCTTGACTACAACCTGCTTAATTCCAACTCAGAAGCTGACCGATCAGTGTCAGCCATGCTTGTTGGCACTACCTGAAGAATGCCAGAGCAGTATCCTGGGCATTGTTAGGGACCTAAAGAAACCTGTATCTTTGAGCCAGTTCAGACACAAATGGTTTACTAGACAGACTGATCAGTTTCAGTGCCGGTACTGACAGTTTGAGCAAAGCAGCCCTGGTGTTGAATACTTTGCACAGCACCCTCTAGTGGTATACTTTTTAAAAAAGCTCTTCAGATTTCAGAATCCAAGATCAAGGTAAGAGGGTGTAGTTGGTGATAGGTGGGAGGTGCTGAAGGGACGCTATGTTTCCCAGACCCCGGTTAGCTCTTGCTCCATGCCCCAGCCCTGTCTGCCCCAACAGACTAGCTGTGAATGGCAGCTTCTGACCTGAACCTTGTTCCCAGGCCTGCCAGCTGAAGACAGAGACCATCACCTACGAGGAGAAGGAGCAACAGCTGGTCAATGACTGTGTGAAGGAGCTGAGTATGTCCCTGACCCTCACTCCCCAGCCTCCATGCGCCCTCGTTTTTTCCCATAGCTTCCATCATTTCCACTAGGCAGGGGTGTGTGCTGGGTCCATGATAGAGTTCTCTCCTTCTCTGCAGGAGACCCCTGTTCAATTTCTAGCCAGCACACCTCCTGTGTAGTTAGCACCTCTCTGTCAGTGGGCATTTGCATGCTGCTGTGATGCGGAACAGGTTTCAGCAGTTTCTAGACTAGGAAGAAAGGTCTGGCTATCTACTTATGAAAAGTATACAGTGACAATCGCACAATCCTATCCCATTGTGTATGGGGTCATGAATCAGACTGACTCAAAGGCAGCTAACAGCAACATAAACATGATTGGCAGTTTGTCATAACCCTTGATTACTCCAGAATCCTGCCAACTAATGACTCAGTAGCTTTCTTCTTAAAACCAGTGGCTTCTCCAATTCTTGTGCGGTACCTACCCTCCACCCATCCTGATTTATGAGAAACTAGGTGCTAAGTTGTCAGCCATAAATTGCCTCAGCTGTTCACTGAAATGGATGTTTGATTTTAACTTTGGCCTTCATCTTGAATATTGGAATAATTTCATGCCTAAGTGCCTGGCTGCTAACGAGAAACTTGGTGGTTTGAATTCATCAGCTGCTCCATGGGGGAAAAGATGTCAGTCTGTTTGTATAAAGATTTACAGTCTTGGGAACATTACAGACAACTCTGTGTCCGATGGGGCTGTGAGTTGGAATTGACTTGTCGGCAGTGAGTTTTGTTTTTTTGGTTTGGTTTTGACGTTAGGCCCCGCTACAGAGAGTTGTTAAAGATACCGAGAAGCTGCTTTCTAGTAATTGGATTTGTGAAAGTTGAGACCATAGTTCTCTCACCTTTGCAAATAATGGCTCCTCACCCGCTTGCTATCATAAGCTTACATAAGACAAAAATACAAACAGAATATTTTGAATTTCAGCAAGATACTTAGTCAATGAAACACACCCCGTGTTCTTATCTAGTAAAATGAGTTATGGCTTTGAATATAGGTGGAAACACCCAAGGAAATTGTACTTATGCCCCAGCAGTGGCTCCTCATGGGGTTAATAACAATGGTCATGGGTGGAGTACGGGGAGTCATTGAAATCAATACACGTTTGTTTGGTGTGTCCCCTCCTGGTTGGATGCCAGAGGCTGATTTGCTCAGGGGAGTCAGCCTTGATCAGGGAGGTCAGGCCCCACACTGAGCCCAGGAGTGGCAGCTGTGGGGGTGGGGGGGCAGGCAGCTCCCTGGAAAATAGGTATCCTAAGGAAGACCCCCAGCGATATGGATTAGCCAAGTGCAGCATCAGTGTGGCAATGATAGTGAGGTTGGCCCAGGATCGGGCAGTATTTCTTTCTGTTGTGCATAAGGTCGCTATGAGTCAGTACCGACTCGATGGCACCGAACAACAGGTTCGTCATGTGCCCACCCTGTGAACCTCCAGGCCCCATCCCTTTCTTGTGTTAGAGATATAGAGATGGCTATTCTCATGCAAACCACCAAGAAACCACTCTTGCTGGGTCTGTGTGTGTGGCTCTCTGACTGATCCTTGTTTCTTGATCAAAGGGGATGCCAACGTCCAGATTGCCAGTATCTCAGAGGAATTGGCCAAGAAGACTGAAGATGCTGCCCGTCAGCAGGAGGAGATCACACATCTGCTGTCACAAATTGTGGATTTGCAGAAGAAGGCAAAAGCTGTAAGACTTCTAGGTTACTCAGGCTGACAGGACAGTGGCTATTCTGGAGCTTGGGGAGGGACATTGGTTCTAGAAGACAGTGCCCTTCAGTTTTCTATTGTAGGAGTTTGTGCTGTCCCTTTGGAGAAGAGAAGCCTATTGTACTCCGTAGTGTAAATTGAATTGGCAAGGGATCATATTTATCATCACTTGTCTTATAAGACTACTCTGAATATGAATGCAGTTCATTAACAAAGCTGTTGTAAATGTGAGATTTTAAAATTTAATGCATGTACAGTCTAGATGAGTATTACGTTTTACACAGTAGCACCTGGTATATTTTGCAGCAGAACAACACTTTTTAGATTTAAGATGAAGCAGCAAAGAAAAAAAACAAAAAAAGCAAAGAAGCTGTAATTCCGCATCCTAGGCCCTAAAGCAGCTCTGCTTTAGAGGAGGAGAGGTGGACCATAGAGAATGACTATTGATTAAGGAAAGAAGTTGGCTTCCAAAGTAAAGTGTAGAAGACATTTCACTCCAGTGTGAAAAATGTGCTGTGATTATAATGAATCGGGTTAGAAGAGACGGATGTATATAAGTATTCTGAAAGATTAGCTGACTTGTGTCTGCCTGATTGTAGTGTGCGGTGGAGAATGAAGAACTCGTCCAGCACTTGGGGGCTGCTAAGGACGCCCAGCGGCAGCTCACAGCCGAGGTTAGTGTTTGTCCCTCATTTCCTCAGAGCCTCTGAGTCCAGTTGAGGTTTAGTTAGCCATTTGGGTTGTGTCTGTGTTAACAATTACAGGACAGCATCTTTTATTTCACTTTTATCATTCAGTAGTTCCCAGTGCCACCTGGCTTTGCTGTGACCTAGTTGTGGGCTCTCGCAGGCTGGAGCCTGGCCTGCACAGGTACCTGATCAACATTCAGCCGAGTGCAACAATACCATACAGAGCAGACCATGTTCAAACACGGGGCTTAAAACACTTGAATGGGGAATCTCTTAGGGACGTAATCATTTGCTTTCTCTTTCTTTTAAAATGGTTTTATTTCAGTTTCCTGTTGTTAGTACATACGGGTATTTCTTATAAGCTCTTCCCAAAGGGATCGGTGATAGCTCAAGTAGTAGAATTCTTGCTCTCTACTCAGGAAAGCTGAGTTTGAGACCCCGTCCACACACCTCATGTGACGTCATCACCATCTGTCAGCAGAGGCTGATACACATAACTGTTCAGCTGAACAAGTGTCAGGAGAACTTTCAGACTGTGACAGACTAGGAAGAAAGGTGTGAAAATCAGCCAGCGAAAACCGTATGGGACACAACCAATCATGGGATGGCACAGGGTCAGGCACCATTTCATTCTGTTGGGTCCAGGTTCGGTTTCATGTCCACTAACAACAGCAACAGTAGGTTCCAAAGAAGAGAGAGATCAAGGGTGTGAGATCTCTTTGGCATTTGTCCCCAGGTCTACAGAGCACAAGACTTTAGGGGTTGCAGGGGATTCTGTTAGAGTGTTTGTGCCAGTCTGGCCCCTGGGGTGAGTGCATATGTGCTCACCTGGGTGCCCAGGGACCCTGACCATGGGCATCTTTCCTGCAGCTGCGCGAACTCGAGGACAAGTATGCAGAGTGCATGGAAATGCTTCATGAGGCTCAGGAGGAGCTGAAGAACCTCCGGAACAAGACCATGCCGAACACCACGTCCCGGCGCTACCACTCTCTGGGCCTGTTCCCCATGGTAAGCTGGGTGGCACCCCATGTTCCCTTCCTAGCACCCCTGTGTCTGCTGAGAGGGAGCGGGGTCCTCTCAGTAGGAAGGAGGCGCCCAGAGTGCTGACAGCACCATCTGAGTCTTTATAATTAGGTTTGCAGCTTGTATTTGGGTCTGAATCAAGGGCATAGAATCCCTGCTGGTGTGTCCTTAACTCCAGGAGACGAATTGATTCTTTGTTTCACATCCCTCTGAATCTGTCTTCTATTCTGCCCTTCAAAGATCAGCTTAGTAGGAGCTTGGAAATCCTCTAGGTTTGAAAGGTGTTAGTTGTACACTCTTTTCTCTTCTGGGTTCTGGTGGATTCTCATGTGTAGTCCAGAATGCTTAAATTGCCCTATCTTTGTGTCAACTCCTATGCTGATGAATCATTTTCTTGATGGCTTTCAGTGCCTGTGATCAGGAAAAGTCTTCCTCTCTTTCCCAGGGGTGGCATTTTCATTTTTAAATATTCCTTCCCCACAGTCTGATTTCTTTAGCCCTGACCTGATGTGTTACAAGTTTGGACTTTGGGGAGCATGTGTTAAGGGAGTTTTCCAGGTTAACTTCTCCCTGTACGAGTTGGAGGAGTCCCTTTGTGGTTATGGTTAATGTACTTGACTGCTAACCGAAAGGTTGGCAGTTCAACTCCACCCTGAGGTGCTGCGGAAGAAAGACCTGGTGGTTGACTTCTAAGCAGTCAGCCTTTAAAAACTCTCTGTAGCACAGTTATACTTGATACACATGGGGGCACCGTGAGTTGGAGTCCACTTGTTGGCAGATTGGCTTGGTTTTTGTTTGTTTTTCTTGGTAAGAGTTGCACAGCACAAGACTGAGGGTCATTTCTGTATAATTCAATAAACTTAGGTTGTTTCCATTGTTTACTGAAATAGCAAATGCTCCCTGAGTAGAGAAGGGTTTTGGAAGGAAACTCGCGTAAGCAGGACAGGAGAGATGATGCTTGTGAAACTCAGTTTTCTCTGAATGGGGCCTTGCCTCAGGGGTCTTTTGCATCACCTTCCATTGCTGTTCCCACTCCTGACAGTAGCTGGTCAACAGGGTCCCACTCTTTGCTGTCTGACCCACCTTTCCAAAATCATGATCTCTTTTTCAGGCTAGAACTAACCTATATATACTTTCTCGCTCACTTTTTCTCTCCCAATCCTTTCACTCTCTTTTAAAATTAAATTTAAAAGGAAAACCTAAAGGAAAGATACACAACATAAATAGATTCCCAAGGTGCAGCCCTATGATCTGAGGACTCCCAGCCCATCCAGCAGAGCACATTCCACACCTCTGGTCTCCCAGTCCTGAGCTCCCTGCACTCTGCCCCAGCCTGTATGTGGAGCTGTACCTACTCCTTGCCTTGGTATCCTTTGTTCCTGGCTTTTCCTCTGGGCACAGTGGTCTGTCTCCGAGCCACCTTAGTTCCTGTGTACCTAGAGCTCACAGGACAAACCCTGAGTTTTAGATGTAACCTGTGCATAAGAAATCTTGAATTGAAAGTCTGCATTTCCATTTCTTCTGAAGAGATGCTCAGGTTTTCGTTTTTTGCTGAGGTAAAGCTTTTGTTGACCTTCTTCTGAGCCATCAATTCTTGAAGATGGCTGTTTTTAAAATGCCTCAGGCATCGGAGGGATTTAAAGCAACCTAGAGATTGTACGGTGCCTATGTTTCTGGAGCAAGATGCCCAGAGATCTGCCTCATTTGCTTTCAAGCCCTTCTAACTGCTGAATTAATTAGTGAGTCGCAGTTTCTACTCAATTATGTTCCCCTTTCCCTTGCCTTTTGGTAGGAGTTTGTAATCTGGGATCCACAGACAGAATTTAGGGAATCTGTGGACTTGCTGTAGCATTGTAGGATAAGCACTGGATTGCAAGGTTGGTTTGAACCACAAGATTGGTGGCTCAAACTCACCATTCGCTCCTTGGCAACCCTGTACAGGGTCAGTGTGAGTCGGGATCAACTCAATAGCACTTAACAGTGATAGAAATCACAGTGGACTTTGAGGGAAAGTGACGTCTTTATTCTCCTTAATCTCTAGCTGTGCTCTGTGTTCTCTCCCATTGAGAACACAGGCAACAAACTCAGAGATGATAGCAGTACCCGTGGCTTTGTGACCAGTAGAAATCACAGCTATTTTCATTGTACATTGTGCAGTAGTATCAGATGTTTCCAAATCCCGTTTATGTCCAGCGCCACCTAACAGTTACAGTGATTATTACTTGACATTAATCTAGACTGCTATATACTACTGCATCACAAAATTTGGTTTTAGTAACCAGTGCCATATAACTATTTGTAACCCTAACTGTTTTTTCTTATTAATTTAAAAATTATTCTTACAAGGGTCCCACTGGACTGGCAAAAGGGTGTCATGCATGTCCCATAAAACTCATAGACCCTGCTGGCTTTTGACTTTATCTTAGGTGGTGGTGATTTGCCATAGAGTCGGTTCTGATTCATAGCGACCCTGTGTAGAGTTTTCCGAGGCTGTAAATCTTTACGGGAGCAGGAAGCCTCATCTTTCTCCCGCGGAGCAGCTGGTAGTTTTGAACTGCTGACACTGAGTTTGTAACCACTACACTTCATGAGTAAGGAGCCATGTGGACTGTAACCACAAGATCTGTGGTCCACACCCACAGCCATTCCGCAGGAGAAAGAAGAGGCTGTGTGGCTATTCAGATTTAAGTTAATTTAAATTCCATTTCTCAATGGTACTATCCCCATTCCTGTTGCCACCTGAGACTGGAGGTTTCCATGTTGGACAGAGCAGATTTTGGCCCTTTTTCTCACCTCAGGGAGTTCTGTTTGGTTGGCACGATTCAGCAGGTGTTTTTCTGCACGCATTCAGCATCTTCCTCTATCACTGTCCATTTGGCTTCACCTCATGCAATGAGGACTGGCAGGCAGCACGGGAACGGGCACCCGACAGGCTCTCTCTGTACCAGAACCCTTGGGTGAGCGAGGGAAGGCCACTGACCCTGGAGCCTGGGAGAACAGTAACTTAGTGAGGTTCTGTGTGAGCTGCCATGTTGCCTCTCAGCATTCGTAAGCCCTGGAAGAATTTGGAAACTTATTCATCTGCCTCAAACCGAACAGCTTTCTCTTACCCTTCCTCTCCCCCACCAAAAATGTTCTCCTTGTGGGATGAGCTGGTGATGAATGGTTGAGAGACTGGTGCTTACTGACTGATGAGCTGTTTAAACCCCCCAGCGGTTCCACAGGAGAAGAGACCTGGCGATCTACTCCTAGAAAGATACCAAACCCCACTGCTATCCAGTCGATTATGACTCAAAGTGACCCAAAGGACTGAGTAGAACTGTCCCGTGGGGTTACCAAGGCTGTACTCTTTATGGAGACAGATTGCCACAGCTTTCTCCTGAAGAGCAACTGGCGAGTTCAAACCACTGTCTTTGCAGTTAGCAGCCAAGCACTTCAATATTACCAGCCCTAGGACACCCTCTGAAGATTTCCTCTGGGAAATCTCTTGGCTGCAGATAGAGTTACAGAAGGGAGATAAGACAACCTTGTCCTTGTGAACTTGAAGCACCATTGTTGCTGTCTGACACTCAGCTGCATGTAGCAAAGGGACTTTCCTGTCAGTGCCCTTTAGTACTTGCCCTCTTCAGGACCGGCCCTGGGGATTGCCCAGCCAGGGTCTCTGACACATGGAGAAGGTCAGCCTGGGATTGTGGGAAGTCCCTGATCCACGTATGCCCTGGCTGGCAAGCCTCTGTTTCAGAAGCGTAGCATTTGCTTGTCTTTCACTTGGTACGTGTCTTCTGTTTTTTTCCAGGACTCCTTGGCAGCAGAGATCGAGGGGACAATGCGCAAGGAACTGCAGCTGGAAGAGCCCGAGTCGCCAGATGTCACGTATGGCCCGATAGCTTTCATTTCTGTTTCCCAAAGATTGTAACCTATGATGATCAAAACTAGCAGTGATCAGGCCTCGGGCTCCAACAGTGATGCCTGTAGGCCTTGGCCAGATTAAGGGCCTGCCACAATCCCAGCTCCTCTCATTTTAAGGTGTTAAAGATTGATGATGAAAATCCAGGATGCTGGGGAGGGAGACAGATGTGTTTTCCACTTCTCTTACCACAGGCCCCATCTTGACACAGCCACTGGTAGTATTGCTTCCTTCATGAAAAGCATTCCTTTGTTTATTTTCAACATCTAGGAGAGTGTTTCAAGAAGTTCATGTAAAAAATGCATTATCTTTTCATGACATTTTTTTCTGCGAACTTTCGGAAGGCCACCTTTTTTGTATTATTGTTGTCATTAAGTGCTGTCAGGTCGGTTCCAACTCATAGCAACCCTGTATAGTGTTCCTGAGGAGTGGCTGGTGGGTTTGAACCACTGACTTTATAGTTAGTAGACCAGTGCTTATCCTACAGCACCACACCAGGACTCCACCCTCGTTTTAGGAAAAGTAAAACATCAATCACCCTTGTATTGTTGTTGTTAAGTGCCATCGAGTCAATTCTGACCCATAGTGACCCTGTATAAGGTTTCCAAGGAGAAGCTGGTGAGCTTGAACCACCGACCTTGATCTTGCAGTTCAAATGACTTTGCATTCTGACACATTAGCCCACAGAGCCACACCTGCACGCCATTGTATTGGGAAAAGTAACAAAACACTTGGCGTGCATAAGATGAGAGTGATCAGAGTAAGACTTCCAGCTCTCTTCATGGTAGGCTCAGCAAAGTGGTAGCTGCTGCTCCCTCCCTGCCAGATCTTGTCCTTTCCTGCCCCAATGTGTTTATAAGGAACCTGTAGGCCCAATTTCACTGAGTTTTCTCTGTTCCCAGGTCCCAGAGATAGTACTTGGATGGGATCCTGGTTGTGGAAATGTCCACAAGCTTCATACACTTACAAAGTCCCCAGTGTCCCAGAAGGGAGTGGCCATTCTAGAAAAGCACCTGCCTTCTCAATGGAAGGGTGGCAATTAGCATCAAGGTGTGACTACTGTACCTGAAAACACTGAAGAACCTTTAATCTGGTGTTTGTCATCTCATTCTACCAGACTGATTTCAAGTTTTGCTTGTCATTAATATGAACTGTCAACAAATACTCATTCTACCACTGTTTACTGGACACCCATCCTGTGTCTCGTACAGTGAGCACAATGGACACATCTTCCTGGCCTTGTGGAACTTACCTTCTAGTTGATAATTTAAAACAAGGACACTAGCTGGAAGCAAGGAGCCGTGATGATGAAGCAGTTAAGCACTCCACTGCTAACTGAAAGGTGGCCAGTTTGTACTCATTCAGCGGCCTCATTAGGAGAAAGACGGAGGAATCTCAGATGAAGATGACAGTCTAGGGAGACGGCCCTGGGGCAGCTCTCCTCTGTCATATAGTGTTGCTGAGTCATAATTGACTCCACAGCACCTCACAGCAATAATAACAGCTGGAGACAACTTAATATGTAAGCATTTTTATATCCAGCTTCAGAGAAGTGGAAAGAAATGTCAGTCTCGGTAGCATCATCTGTAGGACAGAACCATGGCTGAGATCCTGACCTCAGCCAATAATGACTTTCTTAGATTTATACGTGGCAGAGGCAAGCAGCACCTTAAGAAACGTATAAAGCAGGTACTTAGAATTTGACGTGACCAGGCGCCTCTGTGGTGCCTCAGTTGGCCGTTTGTAGAACGTTTTACTCCAAGGTCTTGAGTCCATTTGCTTATTCATGTATATTGTGCTTTTCTTCCCAGTCACCAGAAGCGTGTCTTTGAGACTGTAAGAAACATCAACCAGGTCGTCAAGCAGCGGTCTCTGACCCCTTCTCCCATGAACATCCCCGGCTCCAACCAGTCCTCGGCCATGAACTCCCTCCTGTCCAGCTGTGTCAGCACCCCCAGGTCCAGCTTCTATGGCAGCGACGTCAGCAACATCGTCCTGGACAACAAGACCAACAGCATCATCCTCGAAACAGAGTTGTCCGACCCGGGGTTCGTGAGCGGGAGTTTTTATTTTCCTGTTCTGGGGAGAGGGAGGTATTAGGGCTTAAACCACAGGTCTCATGATCACAAGAGGGAGGTTGGCAAGACTCAATTAAAAAATACAGCCCTTCTAGTTCTCAACTCTGCTTAACCAACTCACCTGACTTAAAACACTTATTCTCCATGCTGATCTTTAAGATAGTCCAGAGAAGTGTATTACAAGGTACCACGTGGGTGGCGAAGACATTTAACATGCTTGGCTGCTAACCAAGCTAACAGTTGGGAATTTCAGTCCACCCACAGGGGCCTTAGAAGACAGGTGTGACAATCTTCCTTTGGGAAAAATCAGCCGTTGAAAACGTTGTGGAGCACAGTCCTACTCTGACACACAGGCAGTTGTGGTGATTCAAGAGTCCACACAATTGCATTTGGTGATGGAGAAAGTTTGTTTTCAGTGAAGTGCTGAAGGAAGTCTTACTGCAGAGTTTTCTGTTAATCTTCACTGGTGTGATATAGAGCCAGTATTGGTGTCGTGAACCCCTTTGTAGCTCGGATGTTTAAAAGGTTGATGAGGGAGGACTCTTGTGACTGGTATCTGGTTTGCTTCAGAAGGTGGGATGCAGAGACAGATGCCCAGCAAGCATCCCTATAGGGATCAGTTTCCCTTCCTTCCGGCTGAAGCGCTGTAGAACCCGCCTCATCTCCCAGTCCCCTCAACCCATAGTCTACCGTGCACCATTTTCCTCAGACTGAATGGTGTTGGTTCTTCTGGGCTGTTGGTTTTGAGTTGAGTGTTGAGGTGTCAGTTCAAGAGCCAAAGTGTCTTTTGAACTGACTATGTTTTTGGCAACCAGGAATTATAGCCCGGAGAGTTCTTCCTAACAGTCCACAAGGGAGATAGATGTTCTTAGGGACTGAAATGTATTTGCTGCAGGCACACAGCGTCTTACTGTGTGCCACTGTATTGTACCTCAGAGTCATCGCCCGTGTTACCAGTGGAAGGTGTGTGGTAGCCTGCGCCAAGCAAGTCTTACTGGTACCATTTTTCCAGTACGATGTACTCACTTTGAATCTCTGTCACATTTTGGCAATTTTCACAGTATTTCAAACCTTTTCATGATGTTATCACATACTTAATAGATGACAATATAATGTAAACATAACTCTTATAGGGACTAGGAAAAAAAATTATGTGATTCACTGTATTGTGGTATTCACTTTATTGCAGTGGTTTGGAACTGAACCCACAATATTTTGATTTATGCCTGGATGTACAAATTCTTGTTCCACCTCATCGCTCCCTCCCACACCAAAAAAATGTTTACAAAGAAAAGTCATTCTTTTGCTCTGCTTTTGCCTGGATTTTAAAGGCTCATGGTGGGTTCCTTAGAAAACATTCTCACGTTTACACTTACAAGTCAGTTCTTCATTGCATATGGCACCCTAATCCCTTCTTTGCACCCTAATCCCCCATCGCCCCTTCTTCCAGAAACGACCGGGATAAGAAGCCAGGGACACCGGGCACCCCTGGCTCCCACGACTTGGAGACGGCTCTGCGGCGGCTGTCCCTCCGCCGTGAGAACTACCTGTCAGAGAGGCGGTTCTTTGAGGAGGAGCAGGAACGGAAGCTCAGAGAGCTGGCAGAGAAGGGCGAGCTGCTCAGCGGCTCCCTCACACCCACGGAGAGCATCATGTCCCTCGGCACACACTCCCGCTTCTCCGAGTTCACCGGCTTCTCTGGCATGTCCTTCAGCAGCCGCTCCTACCTGCCTGAGAAACTCCAGATTGTAAAGCCGCTGGAAGGTGATCACAAGGGGCCTCGGCCCCTCTCTGTCCTGCTCAGCGACTCCCTGTGGGCCCTGATCCATCACCGAAATGTAGGCAACCCCTGTAGCACCTACTCCTTTTTCTTCAGAGATAGCCGTCCACGCTGCTGGTTTGAGTTTCTCTGAGGGTAGCTCGTACCCCGGTTACAGGTCAGAAAAAGCACACACAGACAAGAGATACTCACCTCAGCAGAAGGGAACCAAAGAAAAGAACGTGGGTGCTGGCTTCTGGTTTTCTTTCTTTTGCATTTAGAACCTTAGCGGTAGTAATCTTTCAGAGAGGCAGAGGCACAGCTAGCTCAAAATTAATTCCATCATGCCTAGGGGTCTGAGGAACGAGAAAACAAATTCTTTGACTTCTCAGAAAGTTTGGTGCCAGGGAGCGGGGCTGCACAGCAAATGTTGCAAGTCATTTTTTTTTTTTTTAAGTAATCACATAAAGGCGATTTTGTCCACTCACAAATTCTGGCTTCATCTTCATAGACAGAGGACATGACTTTCCTGAGGGGCAGAGTTCTGACCCAGGCTCCTGGGCAACTGTCACTTGGGAGCCAGGAGTTTCTTTAGGGTCAAAGCATCCCATATGGCTAAACTCATAGAAAAACATCTTTTTTTTTTTGCTTTGGGCAGTATAAAATGTCTTCCTTTTACCTGCCACTACCCTAGTGCCTGATGCGGTGCTGTGGGTTAATGCACCAGACTGCAAAGCTGTTTGAACTGCAAGGTCGGCAGTTCAAGCTCACCAGCTGCTCCTCAGAAACCTTATATAGGGTTGCTATGGGTCAGAACCGACTCGACGGCATTTACCAACAACAACACCACCCTGGACTGAAGGAGTCCTGGTGTGGTGCTCTGGGATAATGTGCTGAACCACAAAATCGGTTTCAACTATTAAGGTCAGTGGTTCAAACTCACCAGCTGCTCCCTGGAAACCCTATACAGGGTCGCTATGAGTCAGAAAAGACTTGATGACACTTAACAACAGTAGCACCCTGGACTGAGGTCCTGATATAGCACTGTAGGATAAACACTGGACTGCTAACCTCAAGGTTGGCAGTTCAAACCCACCCAACCCTTCCCAGGGTTGCTTTGAGTTGGAGCAGACTTGGCGATTCCTAACGACAACAACAATCCTGTATACTAACCAGAAAGTTAGCAGTCAGAGGGTTCTCAGAAGAAAGGCTTGGCAGTCAGCTTCTAAAAGGTCACAGCCATAGAAAATGCTATGACATAGCTTGACTCTGACACACATGGGATCTCCATGAGTTAGAATCTATTTGATGGCAACTAATTTTGTTTCTTGGTAGACTTTTTTTTTTTCGTTTTCAGTTTACCCTATCGGAGTGCCACCAAGTGTTCCATTAAATTTCTTTTGTTTAGTTGTGAAACACATGTAAGTTTATGAGGAAGCGTTTTAGAATACTGTATTACAATTCTGAGACAAAGCCAACCAGAATTCCTATAAAACAATGCTTCTCAGCCTTTTTGCTACTCCATGAAATTTTAGTACCACAGATACACTCACTGCTTACAGGTATGTATACCTGTGCTTTATGCATAAAGAGAGTAGATTATTTCCATATCCCCTCCACCAAAAATAAGTTTCTCCCCCTTCGGAAGCAATGACACACTGGTGAGAAGGCTTGCTTCAGGGTAAGGCCGTGCATAATGGAATTCCCCCAAGTCCTTGCCGGGTTCCTTAATGTCCAGAGGAAGGAAGAGGGTGGCGTATCCTTCTGCATTCAAGATGGGTTTGAATTGTATAGTTTAGGTTCTCCTAGATTTCAGAAAAGGGATGGCTCACTTTTTTTTTTTTTTCCCCCAATTTGTTTTTTCTGTTGTAAGCTTTGCAATTGTTTTCTGACCCACAATTATGTCTGTTTTTGTTTCAATAAAATCTTCCATTTCTGAAATTTTATTTTCTGCCTTTCTTTTCTTTTTCTTCCTTTGTTTCTCAAAAATCATTGGGATTGATCATCTCTATCTTGTCTGTTTTGATTCTGTATTTCATTAGATCATCCAGGAATATGTTTTTGGATTCATTTTCCAAGCACATTGCAGAGAATGTTGTTTTTGTTTTTATTTGTGTTTGCCAATTTATGTTAATCTCTTCACCTTGTGACTTGGATAAAAGTGTTTTTGATAAAAGGAAGAAATCCCAGTAGGTTTGCAAGGCAACTTCACCTATGGCACCCTCGCTGCTCCCCAGGGAGGTAAATCACACCATTAAAGAGTCATGTCTTAGTACTGTGACTTGCAAAGAATCCTTGTGACATAGATCCCTTTAGCTCCATTTTGTAGTTCTCTGATTTTAAAAACACAACCAATATTTGCCCTCTCCCTCTTCTCCAACATTTTGGGGCTGTTTGCGTTTCTCTGTTTAATTTGGTAACTTGGAGTGCTGATACGGAAATCCTTTTGACTCTGGGTTCTAATGTCCTCTTTGGCATTGGGTAAGTGTCTGAGCTCTGCGTTCCTTGTTTGTCGGATAGGCCTCATATCTGCCACATAAGATTGTGGCAAGACTTAAATGTGATGATGTGTTTTGTATTGTGCCTGGCACCTAATAAGTGCTGATTAAATCAGGTTACCTACATTTTGCCCTATTTCAGTAGCTCGGCTCTTAACGGCCTGCCTTACCACCTTAAGAGCTGCAGCTAACCTTGTACTGGGGCCTTGTTCTCATATCATCCTCCACTGTCTCACTGAGAAGCTGATAGGATGGCTGTGAAATCCAGCAGCCCAAGTAAACCTACCTCAAGTGAGGCTCCTGGAGAATGTTGGCTAGGATCTGACAGATTGCCAATCTGTGCCTTCCACCAATGCCTCTCTTAGTTGTTTAATTAGTCTTGCCATCTGCTCATTGGTGTCAGCCAATATAGCTGGGCTAGGTGTTTAAGAATGTAGCATTCTTGTCTCTTCATCTTACCTTGCAAGTTCTAAACAGGTGAAGACCATACAAAACACTCAAGCCTAGAAAACAATACATCTGTGTTAAAAAGACTGGCACAAACAGTATTTCTTCCCTTGTATTTTGTTCTTCCTTTCTAGTTAATTTATAACCAAGAGAGAATTTCTAAATAAACAAGTCAATGTGTAATTAGGAAAAGGAACTGTTATACAGTAGGATCATGTCTAACTTTTTAAGCCCAGAAAGCTTTATTTAGTATATATTTTATTTAATTGGATCTGCTTAGTTGCAACAGTGAGGTGTGTAAAGTCAGCAAATGATGAGAGACAGTGGCTATCATGAATGTTTGCCTTGCTACCCACACCCTTGTTCTGCAGAACTTTATCTTGGTGCCAGCTAGAAACATAAATATTTTCCTCGTGTCCCCACCCTGCTGCCTCATCCCAGCATCAGTTTTACAATGGGTGATAGGAGTGAGCTGGTTTCTATTGAGTTGATGGCAGTGGGAAGTAACTGATAAGAGAGTGAGTCTCCTACTTCGTGCTTGACAAGTAAGGAAGCCAAGCTGTGGACTGAGCTGGTGAAAATGGGGGAGGATAGCCGATAGGAAAGAGACCACAAGGCCTCTGAATAAGAAGCTGTTCTATTTACTTAAAATAATAATAATCTTTTGGGTTGTTGCAAAACATACACATGTATAGTTCTACATGTACAGTTCAGTGACATTGATTATTCTTGTCCTCCTTTTCTACCCTACCCCATTAACATAAACTCACTGCCCTCGAAGGTTTCAGTCTTATCTTTTGAGTTGATGTTGTCCATTTGATCCCAGAGAGAGATCGTAAAAGAGCATAATACTCCAGGCAGACATTCTTTACCAGTTAAACTAAACTGTTTTAGACTTTAGAAGACTTCAAGGGATATTTTTTAGTTTCAGGTTTAAAGATGATCTCAGGGCTAGAGTTTTAGGGTTCATCCAGCCTCCATGGCTTCAGAAAGTCTAGAATTCATTAGAATTTGAAATTATGTTTTGCATTTCCCCCATCTTGATCAAGATTTTTTGGGTAGGATCTTTTTTCCGAAATGTTCAATTGTGGTAGCTGGGCACCATCTAAGTCTGGCTGTATCACAAAGGAAGCTGTTCTGTATGGAGGCAGGTAGCGCGTGTTCTATTTCTGTATGAACTCTTACATTAAAGGAAGGAATTCAGGAAGCCAGGAGATAGGGAGAATGCCTATGAAGTAGTTTATGTAGTCGCAGTGGAAGAGAGGTATGGAGTTAGGTGTTCCGCCTGGGTGCTGGATTTGGCAAATGCTTCAGCCAGGGATGGCAGTAGCCCGAAAACCCCACAGCATGACATAACTCAGTAGCAGGTTGGAGTTGGGTTTCACCAATACTTACTTTTCCCATCCATGTACTAACCACTCCTGAGACTGCTTACCTTCCAAGATTAGGCCCCTTCAGGGTGGTAGAGCCGTAGATGATCAATACTCAACGTCTGCCAAGAAGAAAACACTTGTATGAGGATTAGACAAGCCAGATGATGTGTTAATAACCTACTTTCTGAGACTGACATATATGGAACCTCCTCACTGTGGAGAGGCAGGGTACGAAAGGTCTTCAAGGAGTTCAAGGAAAGTTTTCATGATCTTTACATTCTGTTTATCTGTGAACTTTTTGAAGCCTCTTTGTATATGGTTAAGAAGATGAAGAATGAATCCCGCCTGGATTTTTAATCCCAGATCAGCCGTGCTACCTTTAGCAAGCTCGTTTGTCTCCCTTTGTTGTGTTTCCTCGTGTGTAGAGTCTTGGGCACTTAGTAACTAACTGCCCACTGTAGCTTGGCTAGTCTGATGTGAAAATTGGGTGCCCAGGGCAGGAGGTGAAAATCCAAGGACAATATTCCTCTCAGCATAATCTTTCAGTGATAATCTCATTCCATCTCTTTGGTCACACAGTTTCGGGAAATGCATACTCCACACATTGGTGATCTTTTGTCATTTCTAAGTCCACTCTCCAGGGTCGGGAGAGTGGGACTGATCTGTTAACAGACAGGGATTCATGGCTTCCAGGACTGAAAACATCTCAAGCCCCCTTCAGAAGGACAAGAAGACCCAGCACTTCCTTGACATTGTTCATCACTTTACGGTTTTTCTTTCTTCCCCTCCCAAGGATAGAGGCTTGGTGGCTACAGTGTATCTGAGGGTCTCTTGTTGTCCTTCTCACAGTCCCACACTGGATGTTTTAATGACTTTTTTACAGCCTCTCCCCAGTGAGGTCTTGTTGCCAGGAATGTGCTGGTGGGAAGCCCACTGAGTAGTGGGAATGGGACCCAGCGGGCAGAGCATCCCCATCAGGAGACGTGTGTCTCCTGGGCCCTGGACACCCACCTGAAGGTTTTGCTGCCAGTCAGCTGAGGGCCAGCCACTGCCTCATCTAATCCAAGTTCCTGTGGGGGACACCAGTGTCCTCTCCTGGCCTCACATCTGTGTGTATAGCATAACTGAGAGAACCTATATAGCTGAACCCTGACTGTACCACCAGCTAATGAAGCAACTGAACTTCAGGACAGTCCTGTTGCCTTACCTGTAAAGCCTGGACAGTAACACTTCATGCAGTGGTTCTGAGGAGAGACTGATGCAATCAGGGCAGCTTCTTTAAATGGTGGTGTTGTGCCACCCTCACGGGGCTCAGCAACCTATCAAGTGGGTTCAGAATGTCTGCGAAGCCCTCACCATGTGTACACAGGCTGGCCCATGACTTCCTTCAGATTCTCAGTGGATCTGAGAGGGTAAGAACCATAGTTTTGGGCCATTTGGGGCGAGATCATTGTTTATATGGGAGCTCTTCTGTTCATTGAAGGATGTTTAGCAGTATCCTTGGCCCTCTATTCAGTAGAAGTGAGTAGCATCCCCATGTTGTAGTGACTAACAATATATGCAGGCATTGTCAGCTACTTACTGTGGGGGAAGGAAGGCAGAGTCACCCCAGCTGAGAAGCACTGCTCTAGAGGTGCCTGACCTGGAGAACAGGTATGTGGTGAAGAGCTGTTTGATGGTACTCTCTCTCCCTATATGCACTGCTTGCTTCTTTGTTTTTTGCATTGGGAATTTTTGCTATTTCTCTAACGCAGATACATGTTAAGTAGGTTGCTGTTGGACCTGTGCACACTTACTAGTGGGGCAGCCCTCCAAGTGGGTGATAGGAAACCTTCTAAACATACATTGGCAGTGTGTCAAATGCTTTACCTTTTTAAAAGTAGATTTGAGCCGTGGTATTGCAGGGTCCCGGTTGTTAGTTCTTGGTGCTGTGTCCCTAGAGACAAGGGAAGCTGGAGAAAAGAATCTCTAATGATGGAGGGCTCCAGCCTGGAATTCCACCTCCACATCTGCCAGACCCTAATAAAGGCCCCTGCTTCTCCAAAAAAGTATGTTTGAAATGCCTGTTGACAAACCCCTTTCAAGACTCCCCAGGCTAAGACTGTCCCTGTGAAGTTCCTTTCTGGAGGTGTTTTGGAGGTGGTCATCATGCCGGCCACAGTAGAGTGCCCTGTTCTCTGAGCTCACTCATTCCCGAGCTGCTCCCGTACCCAGCACTCATCTTATTTTTGCTTTCCTCTTGATTAATGGCTATTGGGTAATGGCTCTGGTATCCTTCCCGACGTTCCCAAGTGCAGCACGGCAGCCTGGAGAAAAAGGATATTTGTCCTCCCAACAGAGGACGCCCCTGGTAAACCAGTGATAACTAGGAGGCTCCTGCTTTGCCTCACTCAAAGCCTCTTTGGAGTCTAGGACATCTATTATGCACAGTGTGAGTTTGGACAACTTCATCTGTACAATGAGGCTAGAACTTCTAATCACCCAAGAAGAATAAGAAATACCAGCATCCTGTGAGATAGCTACTCTGCATGTTCCACCCAGAATTCCAGGTAGAAAATCCCAGGGAATACCAACATACTTAAGGTTCTGGGCTGTTCTTAAATGAATACTTCTTTGCCCAGATTTCCTAGGTGTGCTCAGCCTTGGAACACTTCCCTTTGTAGAGCACCTGTGACACCTTCGGGTCTTCGGCAGTCAGGTTAGCTCCGCTCTGGTATTATTACAGACCTTGCACCACGTTATCTGATCCTTATGTTCAGTGTCAGATCCGCTCCTCAGCTTCAGTGCTCTGTGTGGACCTGCTTGTTCTTAAATCACACCGATAGCTTACAGCCTCCCTACACCTGCAGCCACATAAGGTTGTTGGCAGAATAGAAAAAACCCAAGTCAAGGAGGCTGTGGTCACACCTACGGGATGTCTCTTTATTGCTTTAATGTCTTTTTTGCTCTTGTGGGCCCTGGGGTTGCTTTGATATACTGCCTTTCTCTGTCTTCATGTTATTGTTGAGAAGATGCATGCACCCACTGAGCAATTTGTCCATGTACGTTTCAGTGACATTGACAACATTCTTCATGTTTTGAACCATTCTCACCCTCATTTTCTGAATTGTTCCTCCCTTATTAACATCAACTCACTGCTCCCCTCAGCTTCCTGTCTTAGTCTTCAAGTTTTTGAGTTGCTGTTGTCCATTTGACCCTGTATGGATAGTTCTTTAAAAGAGCACAGTGCTCAAACATACATTCTTTACGAATTAAAGTTAAATTCTTGTTTGGTCTAAAGAAGACTTCAAGAAATACGTTTGGTTTAAGGTTTAAAGATCATCTCACAACAATAGTTTTAGGGGTTCATCCAGCTTCTGTGGCACCATAAAGTCCAGATTTCATATGAATTTGAAATTCTGTTCTACCCCCACCCCCACGTCACCACACACTTGCCAAGGATTCTGTAACCGAATCTTAAATCAAGATGTCTTTCTTCTTCTTTGCAGCAGTATGTATTTATCACAGAATTAGTACATGTGCCCCCCCCCTTTGCACGTGTCTTTGCTGTTTTTGCCTCTTCTATTTTTAAAATGATTTGTGTTGGATTTAGGGGTTGCCATTGATTGAATACAATACTTTGTTACCCAAGAGCTTTGTCACATGGTATGGAACTAATTTCACTTAAAAAAAAATTCTTTTTTAATTTTTGATCCCTTAAGTTGGTGCCCCCAGTGGATGGGACATGTGGGATATTGGTTCCTGCAAAATTGTAGGAAGGGCCCGGGATCCCACACCTGGGGAGACACAGACTGTGCTGGCATTGGCTGTGGGCACTTGGAGGGTAGATAGCCACCATCACAGACTCCCCTTCTAACCTTCTCTTCTCTTTACCCCTCCTTCTCTGCCTTTCCTCCTGCAAGGTTCTGCCACCCTCCACCACTGGCAGCAACTGGCCCAGCCTCACCTTGGGGGTATTCTGGATCCCCGGCCCGGTGTGGTCACCAAAGGCTTCCGGACGCTGGACGTTGACTTGGATGAAGTGTACTGCCTTAACGACTTTGAAGAAGATGACACAGGTGACCACATTTCCCTCCCGGGCCTAGCTACCTCCACGCCAGTTCAGCACCCAGAGACCTCAGGTGAGAGGTCCCGAGCACATGTGACTGTCTCAGGAGGCAGAAGTTACCCGAGCCCGCCTCAGGCTTTCCCCGAGGAGATGCAGGATCTGCCAGCCGCCACGGAGGAGGAGGAGGAGGAGGGGTCTGGTGAGGGCACCTCGATAAGTCCTGTAAACCTGGCACCTTCACCTGAGGCAGAGTTTTGGGCCATTCTCACCTCTGTCCCCCGCACCATCCGTAGTAGCTCTGTGTCTGTAGCTTCCGCTCGTCTGTGTGGGTGATGATCCCAACATTCCCATTGTGTGTGTAATACAGAGTCTGATTACCTCCTTACAACAAACGGGTGGAACTCCTTTCTCATCCCGGAGGTGCATGACCCAGTGGGGCCAGAAAAGGCTGCTAAAAAGAAGTGGATTATTGGGTCTCCCACATGGGTGGTGCCTGCTTCCTGTTATGAGTCTCACCCTGAGCATAAACCGCAGATTCTCGGGAACCTCAGTGGTTTCAAAACTGGGCTGCGCAGAGTCTGGTAATTGTAGGGGAATGATGAGTTCTGAGTCCTCCAGCAGGTGAATGCGGAAGTCTGCTTCCTAAACACTGCACTCAAGTAGGTAGAAACACAGGACTTCAGATGACACTTGAGAGATGAGCCTTTTCATTTTCTAAACACCAACAAAAGTATGTAGTGGGGCGGGGGTGCTGCAAAAAAGTTGGTGGAAAATTTTCGTTATCTTTTCATTCCATTTTTCCACCAAGTTTTTGAAGCTCTCTTGTGCGTGTATGTATATGTTTATATATTTTTTCCTTTCTTTCCCTCTAGCTCAGTAGTGTTTAAAACAGACTATTAGAAAGTCTTTTAGCAATCTTCCGTAACTAAACAAACCCTAAGAGAATGCCACTAACCTTTTTGGGCTCCAGAGCAAAAGGATTTTAGATGAACCTAGAAAGGAGCTCTGGCTTTTTGAGGACCTCACCACCCAGGAAGCAGTAAGAGTATGATGGAGTTTGCAGACTTTCCCCAGATCCCAGTGGTGATAGAAGCTTTGTGCTCAGGGGTGGGTTGGGGTGGGAGGGCCTGGGATGCCCAAGACACACAGTTACTGCTCCCCCCGAAAGTGCACTTAACCCCCACCATCCTGGACCTCCAGGCTCCGTGTGCTGAGAAGACACAGAGGTTCTTGTGGAAGAAAGAGAGACCCAAAAAAAAGGGGAACTGACCCAGTGTGTCATCCTCATAACATTCTCCAGTCCCCAGGTTTGAAGAGATGACATGCGTTGTGTGTGGTGCTTGTCATCTGAAGGCCCCAGCCGTGCCCATAACACTCAAGGCAAGGAGAAGCTGAGGTTCAGCCCAATAGTATCTCCCCTTCCCCTGGTCAAGTTCAGACAGCTCTGGTCCAGGGGTTTCATTCAGGACCAAATATTCTTGTTGTGTTTTTTTTTTTTTTCCTTTGTGATAAACTCTAGAGGAGGAATCTAGTAGCGCATACAGTAATGTTATTATATTTTTCCTTCATTTTTATCTTGTAGCAATTATATTATCACATTGAGCTGGCAAGGGAATGAAATCATTCAGAATTTAGTATTTTTGCACTTAAGAAAGGGAAACCAGCTGCAGTGGTATTACATCCCTTCGTTATCAACATCTGTGCCCTCTGGAAGGCAGGCAGCAATACGTAACCCTAGGCGTCTGGCTGGACTTGGCTGTTGGGCTGAAGGGATAGGCACTATGTCCAGTGTGAGGGTTTCCTGTAGCCTCACGGATGGAATAGGATCCCTGGACGCTTAAGGAAGCATGATTAGGTACACTTTGAGATGTTGCACAGGAGGAGCAAAGCCAAGAACTCTGCTTGGAGGGTCAGAAGGAGAGAGAGGACTAAAGTTAGAACTGCTTTTCTTACCATCAGCAAAGACACATTTGTTGCATGCTCCCTCTCTCCTCAAACTTGCCACAAATTTCCTCCCAGCAGTTGTATTTGCAGTGGAAATTGTAGAAGGGTCAGCATTGGATGTGTATGATCTAAGAAGAATTACATAAATTGCTGAATGTTGTTTTGGAGTGAGTGAGCTGTTTAGACAAGAGTCTTTTGCAGGGGCCTTGTTTTCTGGGTAAGGCTCATCTTTTTAAAAAACCATTGCAGAAGGGAAGGGCCGGAACAAGTATTTGCCTTCCTCCCCCTGCCTAACGATGGGGCTGTTTTGATTCATGGCATGTAAGAAGCATATCACTCCAAATAAATCATCTCTATAAGCCGAGAGCCCCAGTCCCTGCCTTGGTCTGCATTTTTGATTGCCAAATAGTGGGACCTTGGGGCTGCCCTCTGCCCTGGAAGACTAAATAAGGAGAAACTTTGGAAACAGAAGGTGATTCCCTTTTTTTCTTGTAACTGGTATTGTGGAGGAAATTGGGAAGACTCAGATGTTAGCTTTTTCTGTCTGGAAGGTTTTGAATATGGAGAAAATTGATGAACATGTTGAATGTACTATTTTAAGCATCATTTGCTGGTTTTAAAACCTCGTCTTAAAAAGGATGATCTGATGCTGTTGTATTGTAAATAATTTAGATGATTAAAGTGGATTGCCTTAAACAGTCTTTAGATTATAGTTTTACTTTGTTTCAATGATGGGTTTCATATTTTAATTCATGTATTATCGACAGTCCACCTTATCAGAAATAAGCACCATCTTGTACCTAAGTGTTCTGTCTGCTGTGTTTTAGGTGTTTATGTGTTTGCCATGAGTACTGGTGTGGCACTGTTGGATAAGCACTAGACTATAACCACAGGGTCAGCCGCTCCTCAGAAACCCTATTATACAGGGTCACCGTGAGTTGGAATCAACTCCATGGTACTTAACAACAACAGCACACGTGATAAAGCACCCAAAGGAAAGTTTAAAGTCTCACAGTTAATTCAGTACATGTCTGTTTGGATGGACCATTGAATTGGGTGTCTTGATCCCTAAGGGAGAGATTAAAGCAACATAGATGAAACCAACCAAAGACCTAATGATTTCATATCTCACACACGTGGAGACCGGTTTATGTGGGTGAAATGCCTAAAACAGGCATATGTGTATCATGATTTCTGGTTAGGCAGTGCCCCTGCAGGACAGTTGGATCATAGTTGGGATTGAGATGAGAAAGTCAGTGTTGAAGGGAAAAATCACATCTGGTCAAAATTGCCCTAAAAACCCCCTAAGTCGTCAGTATTTGGGTCCCTAGAGTCAAAAACCAAGAGTTGGCTTCTTTCTAGCATCTTTATTTGACGTACATTCTGTCCAGGAACAGTTACTGAGGGAAGGAAGGTCAGAGAACATCTTGTGGTGAAAAGGAGCCAGGTAGAAAGTTCCAGAATCTAAGTACTACCCAGCTTTGTCTCAAACCAAGTCAGACCAGCCCTTACCTGATTGTACTTTTAATCTCACTGTGGAGGTAGGAAACCTGGATAGGCTTGGGAGGGAAACATGGTCTAGGGACCTGAGGGGCCGGTAAGTTAGGGAAATCCCTTCCCATTGTACCCACCAACAGAGATGATGGGAACTTCCCACTCTGATCGGAACACTTTCAGTCCAGTCCTAGGTCTATAGCAGTTTGGGGAGAGTGTGGTCGCTATCCACAAATGGATGGTCTATTGAAGCCCACCTGTATTAGAAGATGTCATGGCAGCCTTGGTGACACTGTGGGTTAAGCATTGTTGTTAAGTGCTATTAAGTTGGTTCTGACCCATAGTGACCCTATACAGGGCTTCCAAGGAGCAGCTGATAAGCTTAAACCTTGCAGTTCAAACCGACTTTGGAGTCCAATACATTAGTCCACAGCACCACACTAGAATTCGCATAGGGTTGCTGATGACAAGGTCGGCACACTCCACAGGAGAAAGATGGGGCTCTCTTCTCCCATAAAGATTTGCAGCTCGGAATCCCTATATAGGATTGCTATGAGTTGGAATCACTCAATAGTAGTTCCTTTTTTTTTTTTTCCTTAAAGGAAGCCTCAGGATCCCTGGTGATGAGCCAGTTAACCTGTGTGTTCAACTGGTAGTTTAAAAGTTGGTGTTTCAAACCTGCCCAACAGATCCCTGGGAGAGATCCAGAGATCTACTTCATAAAGATGTTAGCCAACAGAATCCTATGAGGCAGTTCCACTCTGTCACGTGGGTTCCCTATGAGTTGAAATCCACTCAATGTCCTCGAACAATAACAAGGAAGTCCTTGCTGGGTTGCACCCGAGTACAACAGGTCAAGTGTAACCTGGGGCTGGGAAAAGGAACCAAGGATGAGAGAATTAGCGCCTCTAAAACAAACACATAAAGTTGGCTGACTGCTTTAAAATGCCCAGAATGTAGCTCAGTGGGTGAGCGAGGTTTCCTTATGATGGGATGGCCTATGCTAATAAGGGAGCCCCCAAGGGGTGGATGAGTAAGCACAGGCATGAATTGCTTTGAGGTTTGGATGAGTTGGTACCGCTGCACTCTGTCTGAGGAAACACTACAGAAGTGCCCGCTTGAGCTCTGGTAGCGTAGTCTTTACGAGTTGGACTTTTAACCTCAAGGTCACCAGTTTGAAACTACCAGCCGTTCCACAGGAGGAAAGTGAGGTGTTCTGCTTCCATAAAGACTTACAGCCTCGGAAACCCTATACAGGGTTGCTGTGAGTCGGAACCGACTCCTCAGCACCCCACCACCCCCACCACCACCACCAGCAGCAGCAGTGGGAAAGGCCTCGCTGTCAGCTGATCCCTGCTAGCTCCCCCCATCGGGGTGTCCACCTTGGGAGGAAGGGTAAGAGCACAATGCACATTGAGTTCGACTTTGTGAGTGTCCAAAGGATCCAACAGACTTTTGTCTTTGCCCTTTGAACATTTTAACAGCATTTGTTATTTTAAAAAACAAAAAAACAGACTCACTTGCTCTAGAAGGTACCCTAAGAAGCATTTGAGGGGCTTTCTGTACCTCTCTGCACATGGAGTCCTGTAGTGGCACTGTAGGGGAAACACTGGACCCCAAAATTGGTTTGAACCT